ATAGGAGCTATGGTTAACTGATGGTCTGCTTAATTAAACAATTTATCTTTCAATTAATGTGGAGCGCACAACTGAATATTTCCTTCTATTTCTGAATGATTCATGTTTGGATCTTGTGTCCGCCGCTTCTCTTCCCTCTCCCATGTTTTCTGAAGCTGACACCCAGTAATGTCCAGATATATCAAGAAGAGATAGAAAGAGGCGAGAGAGATGCGGTCGCGTGTGGGTGGTGTGTGGTGTATTATATGTGGTGGTGTGGTGTGAGGGAGAGAGAGAGAAGGAGGAGAGAGAGAGAGGAGAAAGGGTTCTATCTCGTAAGTATCAGTGGCCCCACGAAATAATACGGCGTTGTTTCCCTCCATATTGGAATCAAAGCTAGCCCGGTGTATGTGTCACCTGTTGCTGCAGCGACAGCTGAGGAGGCAGGTGACCTGGGAATGGTGTAGGTGTCACTACATTTATTTATTCATTTCGTTTGTTTTGGATTTTTGCCAGGTCCACACGATGCTTGGCTGAAGAAAATCAGTATGCTCTGACGATTCAGTTAGGGAAGGCTCAGTTGAAGTTGTTTCTATGATGCTGTGGTTATGTTTAGGCGATTTCATGCAGTAGTGCAAAACAGACCACTACCTAATACTAATTCTTATGAATAGACTGTTCAGTTAGCTGAAAAATATTGATCCAATGGTATCGAATATATGTTTGATCTAGGGTGTGTGTGTCGTTCTGGAATGTCTCCTGACTCAGGGTACGCTTCCAAGGTGTCTCTCGTGTCCTTGGTGTTGCCTACTATGGGCTCACCTGAGGGGTTTGTACTGGTGACCCATTGTATATTTCCACCAGAGGCTCCCGTCCTTATGAATGCCTCCACTGGTGGTGTTCAGACGTGACCCTCATTTCACTTTGCATTGTTAAGGGTGTGACCGAATCTTTTGCTCATTGTGAGGTTGACTAGTCACTGTGAGAGTGAGCGAGGCTATAGACTTCAACCACGTACTATGATGGTAACAACATAAGCAAGGTTTCTGTGCAGCAACTGGTTGTAAGGGTGGGATGAAGGATTCGTTTATGGTGTTAGCAGTGTCGCTTTTGGCTTTGGTTCGAGTCTCTGCACATTTCTACATTGTTTCTGCCTTCGGTATTTGTGTTGAGAGTGCCCATTGCTAAGTAGTCCGCTCATTCCTACTCTCACTGCCCTTGTATCTGGTTGTCTCATCCC